GACTCAGGTCTCTCTCTCCACAACCCACACTCTTGCATCCGGCATTCCTGCCCTCTTGCCTCTTGGACCTGGTCAGCCTGCATCCGGCTTTCCTGTGCAGAGATACTCTTCTACTCCTGGGACCTCTGCTTTGCCCCATGAGAACAGCCTACTCAGACTCCCCTCCAAGAAGCCTTCAATGCTAAGCTCTCCTGAGGCTAAGCCAGGCCCTGTACAGCCCCACTCAGGCTGTAGTCGTCTGTGGTCCAAGTTCTGGGCCTTCCATTGTGTATGTCTGGCCTCTAACTGTGCACTTCCTGAGGACCAACCTCGTTTGCCACACAGATCTGTGAGTGTAGCACCCAGAGCAGGACCTAGGACCCCCAGAGGATGTTTAGAGAATGTACTAAGGGAATGGGGATGCTCAGGTGTGGGGATGGGATAAGGTACCAGGATTCTTTAGGATATGCATGTGTGTGTTGTGTTACACATGAGTGGTGACTGTGAGTAGCAGCTCAGTACAATGGGGGATGTTGTGCAAGGCTGAAGGTGAGAGGGGACAAGACAGAGGAGCCTTTGCCCAAGGAGCAGAGAGACAAGGAAGCATGAGAAGGAGAATGGGACAAGGGGAAGGAGACCCCCAGGAAGTGGAGAGCCACAGCCAAGGGTGTCCTTTGTGGCTGTGCTGGACCAGAACATTCAAACCTAGGGCCAGAAGCCTCTGGACCTATGGGCCTCAGGTTAAGGGGGCTGCAGGGCATGCAGCTCCAGCTGCCTGTGTCTGAGCTGGCCAAAGGGATGCAGGCTTTGTGGTGAATGCAGGGAGGGGCACACTCACTCACAGCATCCCACAAAACAAGGGCCCCTCCCGAGACTCTTGCAAAGAATAAAACCTGACTTTGTGGACAACAGTTCCACACTTGACTTGGCCTTGACTCTTTTTCAAGTATTTGTAAGATGAGCTCGATTCCCCTAGAGGGCAACAGAGGACTGAGGTGGCTCTGGAAAGGTGGGGACAGGTGTGGGATAATAGGGTCTCCTTGGGCTTTTGTCACTCAGACATGGTACCTGGCACAACACTTACAAGGATAGTATGTTCCTTATATGAAACATGAAGAATTGAGGCCCAGAATGGTGATGCTTACTGTCAACCAAAGCCACACAGCAAATTAGAACTCATGGGAATGGAATGGGCCATCTTTCCTATTAGGGAGCCTCTCTAGATGGGGACCTAGCAGCCTGGCAAGGCCTTGGCACAAGACTCTCCCCAACCCTTATCCCTTCTTGCCTTGCTTGGTGTCCACCCTCTTATCCTGGGTCTGGGCTCACTGGCAAACATGTCTGAGAGAGAGGGGACAGGGGCAAGGACTGGCACACCTCGGGCTGGGCAGCCATTCTCTTCCCACAGGCCTCCTCAGTCTGAAAGTTTCTGCCCACTGGCTACCACCCAGGATCAGTGAAAAGAAACCAAGTTCTCTAGCTGCCCCAGGTCAAGCCTCCCCTGGTGGGGCTGGAGGAGGAAGGGGCTCTTCTCTCAGCAGGGATGGTAAACGCTAAGTTCTAATTAGCAGCTTCTGGAGCATCCAAGTGCCCTAGATGTGAAGGAAATCTGTTTCCTAATTGGCCCCCTGCCAGGGTGTCAGTTAGCAAGCAAGCAGGGATTAGGCAGCCTCTGAGCCAGCTCCCTTCCTTGGCCTGGCCTCACCTTCTCTGGATCTCTCCCATCTTCCTCCAGCCCATCTTCCCCTTGGGCTGGTCAGATCTTTTGAGTACCGGAGGGCCACCTAGACACACTTCATCCAGGGTTACATGGAAGATTCCTCTGAGGCTGGACAAAGTCCTACAGGAGATCTATCCCCAGCCTCAGAGCAAGGCATGCGCTGCTGCTGGACTACCTGCCCAGTCCCTGTGGCCACCACTTACTCCCTTCCCAAATGAGGTTCTCTGAAGCCCTCCCCATCCCACACTGCCCAGCTTTTCTGAACCCCCCATAGAAACTTATGTGACACCCCCCCCCTTCCAGACACTGTATACATTGCACTGCATTGAGGAGATGCCCTTTAAATGACTCTATTATTCAGGGACATTCCTGGAATCAGAAGGCCTTGCCGTGATTAGAATATGGTTTATTGCCACCAAAACCTATATTGAGGGGTCTGGAGAGATGGCTCAGAGGTTAAGAGCACTGGCTGCTCTTGCTGAGGACCCAGGTTCCATTCCCAGCACCCACATGGCAGCTAACAACCACCCTCTTCCGACCTCTGTGGGAATTGCAAGACATGGGTGCACTTACATACACGCAGGCATAACACTCATACACATAAAATAAAAATAATAAACAAAACGTATTTTAAAACCTATATTGAGGTCTCCAATATAGTGGCACTAGGCCAGGAGGGGTTCACCCTTGTGAAAGTCCCTGTGAGAGGGGGTTAATTATCTCAAGAGCAGGTTGTTACAAGGTACTGGGCTCCCTATGTTCCCTCTTCTCTTCCACAGTACTTTCCACCCAGCACAAGGTTCTCACTGGAAGCAGAGGGGATGCTCATGGTCTTCCAAAACTGTGAGCCAAAATAAACCTAACATTTTGTTAGAGAAACAGAAAATGCACTAACACAGAACCTTCTAGGGGTTCTGGAGAAAGCCATACCAGGCAGCGGTGGGGGCATGACTAGAAGGACATTACTTGGTGCACAGCAGGTTAAGTCTTTATCAGCCCTGAGAGGGAGCACCCCCAAGTTCCCTGTGATGGTTACTCAAATGCCTATAGCAATCACATAGCCATCTGGGCCATAATGAGTAACAGGAATAGGGTCGGGGAGGAATCATGAGGTCAGGAAAGGTGGACACACAGACCGTCCCTTATCCCTCTAGATCTTTTGATAGGTGGGATTCAGGGCTAACTAGGATGGGGACAAAGAGCCAGGGAAGGCTACTGTGTAGGGACCAGAAGGACAACCCACCACCCAACTACATGTGGAGCAAGCCAACTCACCACTGGCCTGTTCCCACCTGTGGAACTGAAGGAAGTGAAACCCACAGTCTCTGATACCTCTTCACTCACGGCTGTGAGGAAATCAGGTATGAGGCCAATAGAAGGCCAGTCAGAGAATGGAGGGCAACACAGAGCCCAGAAGCCACCCTTCCCCACCCAAGATGAATGCCCCCTGCTGTCTCCAGGATACCCACTGCAGATGGGGTCAGGGAAGCCCTGTTCCTGAGTCCATAAAGAAAGGCACAGGGTTCAGAAGTTAGAGAAGGTCAGCCTGCAGTAGAGGTGGGCACCAGCAGAGTGCTGGGGGGACCAGGGGTGGGCATAGGGTAATCCCTGGAACACTGGAAGGGAAAGAGCAAAACCAGGTAAAGTCCAAAAGAATCAGCTGGAACATGGGCTCCATTTCAACAACTTTCAATCAAGTTCAAGTCTTCCTTTTTCCATGTGAAGAGGCAGCCCCTAGGGTAGCTACTCAGGAGCTCTTCCAGACTGAACCCTGCCCAATCCTTCCCAAGCAGGTCCACTTGCTTCCCCTTCTGACCCAGCACAGGGGAGGGGTGGGGGAGCAGTGGCCTTCCCAGTCCTGACTGTCCCCAGCCTTCTGCTTTGCCTGGAACAGCAATCAGGCTCCAAGGCCCAAGGCTGAGGCAGTGCATGAGCTTCAGGTGCTTAGCCACAAGGCTAGGAAGGGCCACTTTATGGCCTGTGTCAGTCTCCAGCAGAGGCCAGGCACCCAGACCTGGAAGGTTGTAGCTCCTGCAGGACAGGGCCCTAAGGCATTTTTTTCAAAACTCCCAGATCTGGGCTGGTGAGATGGCTCAGTAGTTAAGAGCACTGACTGCTCTTGCAGAGGATGAGGGTTCAGTTCCCAGCATCCACATGGAGGCTTGTAACAATGGTCTGTGACTCCAGTTCCAGGGAATCCTGACCTCCATGGGCAGTGCATGACATGGGTACACTTACATACTTTCAGGCAATACACTCATAAACAAATAAATAAATAAACCAAACCCAGACCCCTTATTTGCTCCTGCTTCCTGGCTTGGAGATGGCAGGTTCTTCCTTCATTCTCAAGGACTGCAGGTTTGTTGTGGAAAACCAGGTCTGTTCCTCAGCAGAAGATGGAAGGTTCTACACTGCTGGGGACGCCTGTTCGGCCTGTTCATTAACAGGCTTTGGGGAGTCCACTGTGGATTCCCCCAGGGGATGTGAGGCTTGAATGTGGATGCCCACAGCCTGGCAACTTCTAAATTGACACATGAAGCCTGCGAGTTGCTCCTGTTTCATCCTGGGGGAGGCCGTATGACTGTGACAAGTAGGGCTGGCTGGCATCTTGGGGGGTCTTCTCTGGCTTCAGTGTGAGAGTCTGCGTGTGTGCGTGTGTGTGTGTGTGTGCGTGTGTGTGTGTGTGTGTGTGTGTGTGTGTGTGTGTGTGTGTGTGTACTCACACTCTCTCCTTCCCCCACCCCACAGTAAAAAGAGAAAGTTATAGAAGTTTTCAAAATTCCTTTGGGCCTAATTATTCATTTCTATATGCTAAAAGGTCCTGACCACTGGCCTTATTAAAGGAAAAACCTTCAAGTCTGGCTCAAGCAGCTGGCCAAGTGTGGACCACCCCCGCTTCCCTCAGGTGGTCCAAGTCCACTCAAAGCCTACAGGACCCGCTCAAGGTCAGAGAAGGGATGGAGCAGTTCACAATGCAGATTCCTCAGCTTTCCATGGTCAAGGGGGATGCTCTACACACTCATCATGTCTCTGATGTGTGGAGGATCTTGCTTGAGCTACAGACTAGAACTGAATGCCAGGGTATGAAGGAGGACACAGATAGCAAATGAGTGGTCTGCAGCTATATGGCCCTTTGGGGCAGAGTGATAGGTGGGGCCCAGACTGGGAATCCCAGCTTCAGGGGACCCCACTGACCTAGATGCCCCTCTGCAGGGCAATGGGGAAAACCAGGCCCCTGTGACACCTCCAAGGAGGAAGAGAGGAGGTATTCATGGATCCCAGGGGCACTCCACCCACTCACCATAGTCCTTCTTGCAGTACTTCTTCATGTTGATCTTCAGCTTCCCTTTGGAGGCCTTGCAGTAGGAGTCACAGTCTGCAGGGGAGGGAGGGACAGAAACTCATTAGACTGCTGATAAATGGGCTAGTGGCCCAATGGGCCACCTCCCTAGATACCCAGAGGCCTGTGGTACCCATGGGCCAGGTCAAGCGGGTGGCCATTCAGGGCAGGCTGGCTTTCTAAAGAGACCCACAGGACAAAGGCTGCCCCTCCTCCCTCTGACCAGAGGAATCTTCCAGCCCCTTTGGCCTCCCTGAGAGCCTTCAGGGCCCTGTATTGTGCCACCCAGGGATTCTGAGCACCACACCAATTCCCTCTGTCTCAAGACTCAACTGGGGCCTGATTAAAGCAAATAGAGGCCTCATTGTCAACCCAAACTCTGGGTCTGTGTCAGGCGCTGGCTTTTATGGCACAGAGCCTCTGGCTGGGGTCAGGCCCCAACAAAAGAGGTCACAGGGGAAATTAGCAACCCATGAAGCATTCGAAAACCCTTTTGGTGTCCACTCCACTGGAGTGTGCAAATAAAATGCCCACGAAAATAGCTTAGCTCTAATGGGACCCACTGCCAAAAAGCAAGCCTGCTGGCCATACCTGCTGGGCATAGTATGGGGGCTTCCAGGCCCTGGGAGAGCCAGGCAAGAGGTACAAAGTTTACATCTCCTGCACTGACCTTGTCTGCCACCAAATGCAGCCCCCATGTTGGACTCCAGACCCCATATTAGACTTGGCCAGCAATTTCAGCAGCTGGGAAAGGTGACAATTTCTTCACAAGATCTTATATAATACTACACAATGCAGTATAGCAGCCCAGGAAATCACCAGTCATCTGCCCTGTCCATACCACCTATACACTGGACCTCACTCAATTCTCACCATTGGTCTTTCATCTACAAGTGTTATTCCCATTCTGCAAATAGGAGAACTGAGGCTCAAAGAATTAGATAAACCACCTTCCAAGGTCAATGTGAGAGAAAGGAGTCATGTATATAGGAGGGCAGGAAGGCAGGCTTCCAGTACCACCTGCCCCAGCTTGTAGCTTACGACTACAGAGACTATTTAGAGGTCATCTCTCCAGAGACAGTCTCTGACCCCCAGGAAGCAGCTCTTCTGTTGAGGTAGCAATGCTTTGACTGATGCCTCCCCTAGTCAGTGTAACTCAGCCCACCAATGGGGAGTCACAGTCCCACAACTCCCAACTGCCTCTGGGGCAAGCCTCTGAGGGCCCAAATTCAGGAATCAATTTCATAAAAGGAGAGACAATCAGGCCCTCTTCCTCCTTGTCTGTCCCTTGGAGTCCTCTTGGGACAGCCCTGTTTAGGGACAGTAGAGTCTACAGTATCAGACTCTCCTGCCAGCTGGATGGATGCTCAGTTTCTGGAGTAGAGGGCTTTTGGTGTACACAACGAGGTTGTCCAGAGAGTGTGGCCTTCACTCTATAGTGGACAAGCCCAAGGTTAAGACAGGAGAGGGCAGCAGCCCCAATGACTCAGGTCAACGGCACCATCATCCCATCACTGCTACCCTTTCTGTTTGAAAACAGCCACGCCTGGGTGTCTGTGCCAGGCTGCCAGCAGCAAAGCCATTCTGGGGCTGAACCAAGGTTGTGCGTAAGTCCTGGCCTTCGTGAATGGGCTGGCTAGCCTCCTGTGCTGTTCTCTCCCCTCACGGAGCTGAACAGGAATGCAAGTGGAGGTGAGTGACGTCATTGCAGGGAAAGCTTTGAGTCCACTTGGGGTTTCTGTGCTACTTTGAGGGAAGTTGTTGACCCAAGTGAGCACTTTCGTTTCTTGTCTGGAAGAAATCATGAATGTCCTGTTTTCTTTGCACAAGCCTGGCAAGATGCACCCATATGACAGCCCAGGTGAAGAGGGCACCATTGAGTGTGCCAGCTTTGTAGGAGGAAGAAACAGTACTCGACTTAAAAAGATGAGGAAAGCCGAGTTCAGACCTGCCTAAGGGGAGCCCCCTCCTATAGGGCAGAATGGAAGCATTCAAATCCCTGAATAAACTACCCCCAAGCCTTCAATATCACTGCCCACAGCTCAGGAACAGCCAACGTTTTTCTCCCAGAGCCAAACGTCCACCTGGGACAGATGTCATCCAGAATGGGCAGCATCCATCATTGCCTAATGAGATAGTGCTCTGAGAACCTGCATGCCAGCCATCTCTAAGGCTGCATACACCATGGTGGTACAAGAGCACTCAGGGGGCCTTGGCACCATTCTGCTGCTTGGTGAACTCTCTCCCTATAGCCAGGTCCATTTTACAAATGAGAATATATGGCAGAGACATAGTGGGGGTCCACTTTTCTAGACTCCCAAGCCTTACACTGAGGCAGCATGGCTGCCTGTGATCCTAACCCCCAGCCCCCCAGACTATAGGCAGCACAATTTCCTGTGAGTATCAAACACCACTGAGGTCCCATCTCCAAGACATTCCAATTTTCTTGGCTGAGGAAACAGCCTGGGTGTCTGGATTTTTTGAATGCTCTGTGGGTGAGGAGATGGTTTCTGTACCCATGCCACGCAGACAGCACCCAGCTCAGCAGAGGAAAAGCCCAGACAGGTGGTTAACTCAAACTCAGAAAATGATGTCAGCTTCCTCTATGCAAAATGTCCCCTCCTCCTTCAGAGTCAAACTCACCCCTGAGTTAGGGAAATAGACCAAGCCTGTTAGAACTGTGTATAAAATACAGGTTAACCAGCTGGGAAGGAGAGGCTGAAGCATTTATCTCAGGGGAAACACAGACACAGGAGAGCTATTTGGCTTTCTGTGGACTCCATTTGGGTCAGTTTCCAGATCACTGAGATCATCTGACAAATGATCCCTGGGTAAGGAAAATGTCCTGCTTGCATCCTTCATCACATCACACACAGCCACAGAGACTGTTCGACACAGACAAATCCCAGCTGAAAGCCCAGCTCTGCCCCCTGCAACACGGCATCTCCTTGGCAGCCACTCACAGGGCCGCTCCTTGTTTTGTTCCAAAACAGCTATAAAGACAGTGAAAAAATGAAAATTCACACTAATGCCAAGAACGAAACTGATAGATGACCCAATGCTAGAATCTGGGAGCAATCGCAATTAATTAAAGGCAGATGGTGGTGGACGAAGCAAAGCCTATCTGGGTTTTACCTCCAGACACAGTTCTTTGTCTGATGAACAGAAAGATCACAGAGAAAAAAGGAGGATGACAGAAAGACACTGAGCAGAAAACAAATGGGCTCAGGGAGATGAGGATGGCCTCTCTTCCAGGGAGGGGAAGTTTGAGGAAGAGTAGGAACCGGAAGCCATTTGTGCTGACTTTCTGAACTTGTATTTTTATCTAAATCACTGATGCAGAGAATCAGAAAGTCAGGCAGTGGAAATAAGAGAAGGGATCTAGTTCTACAGAGCAAATGTGAATCCAAGGTAGGAATCGGGGCCAGAGCTCCATCTTCCATCCAAGATGGAAATCCAATCATCAGGCCAATATAGGAATCTGCAAAGGGCTTTTCTACAAAGGGCCAGACCACACGTATTTGAGACTTTGAGGTCCATACACCATTTGTTACATCTGTTCAACTCTTATCACAGCAGCTCAACAACCACCATTTACAATATATAACCAATGGGCATTACAAACTAAAAACCTCTAAAAAGACAGCCGCTATGAAACAGAAGAACAGAAGCTGGACTCAGGGGCCATATGATACATAAAAGAAAAGTTGTAGGCTGAAAAGACGGCTCAGTGGCTCTTTCAGAGGACCCAAATTCAATCTCTAGCACCCACATCAGGCAGAGTACAACCACTTGAAACTCCAGCTCAAGAGGATCAGACACCTTTGGCCTCTGTGAGCACCTGCATTCACGTGCACATAACATACCCCCATGTAGACAGACATACATACACATAATTAAAAATAATAAATCTTTTTTAAAAAGAGAAAAATAGAAACTAAAGTAAATCTCCAAAAACCCAGTAGCACAATTAAAATCCACTTCAGAAGCAGAGAGAACGATACTGCAGAAAGTGACTGAGGAACATGGGGACTATGCTACAGAACCTCTCAGCATTTAGAGGAAACAATTAAAGGAGAAGATGAGAACACGAAAGAAGATCAGAGCGGAAAGCAGAGCTGGGCGTGACTGCACATGCCTTTAATCCCAACAAAGACAGGCCAGCTGGGGCTACATAGAGAGATCCTGTCTCAAAAATCCAAAACCAACCAAACAAAAACAAAAATGCAAAAAGAGAGTGGAGAGCTGACACATGATTGGGCAAGCGCTTCAACAGAGGCCAAAGAAAATGGACAGAACAGTCAAGGGCAGGACTCCTGAGCCAAAGATACCACATATACCAAAAGGCTCCTTAAATGTTTTCAAAAACAAGAATAACAGACCAACATCAGATACATCTTTGCAATACACAGGAAACGACAGGATAAGAAAAATATAGATATGGATTAAACAACAGCAGCGACAACAAAAAAGAACAAGTAACTATGGAGAAGTGTCTATAATACCTTCAGGGAAAAACTTGCAATGTGAGAATTTTATACCCAGCTAGATTGTCTGTTAATATACACTGGCCACAAAAAGCATAGGACATTCTCAACCTTGTAAGAGTGCAGAAAATCTTTCAATCATGTATCACTTTAGAAATAAGCATCCAAGAATATTTGTTTTCCAGACACCTATGAAATAAATAAAAAAATAAGGGCTTTAAGAGGGGAAAGCTATGGTATCAATACATTAAGACTATCTGACCATACAAATTCAGTTGAAACTTTAGCTCATATTAACAAAAAGTAGTATAATAAGTAGAGAATCAAACTTCTTAAATAAAAAGCCAAAGATGCTATTTCATGCTTGACTCTGGCAAATAGGATAGTGCTTTTGAAAAAGCAGGGCCAGGGGCTGGAGAGATGGTTCAGCGGTTAAGAGCACTGACTGCTCTTGCAGAGGACCCGGGTTTGATTCCCAGCACCCACACGGCAGCTACAAACCGTCCTTAGCTCCAGGTCCAGGGGAATCTGAAGCCCTCTTCTGACCTC